GTGTTTGTGTGTGTTGTGTGTGTGTGTCTGCGTGTGTGTGTGTGTGTGTGTGTGTGTGTGTGTGTGTGTGTGTGTGTGTGTGTGTTTGTGTGTGTGTGTGTGTGTGTGTGTGTGTGTGTGTGTGTGTGTGTGTGTGTGTGTGTGTGTGTGTGTGTTGTTGTTTGTGTGTGTGTGTATGTGTGTTCCTTGTTTGTTCACGTACCCTTATGATCTATGTTGAGTACCATGCCCTCTAACTATTAATTTACAATAGTCGTGGTCGTTACGATGGTAAATAACAGATAGATCAAAACAATAGATAAATAGATAGATTGTAACGGTTGCTACTGAATTTCATAAAAAAAACTATACTTTAGGTTAATAGACAAAGCAACATCTCTGGACTCCATGTACGTATTGGTGTGTGTGTAAGGTATCAGAAAATAAATGTAAATATAGGAAGTGTCGATTTACACGTAATAGCAGTGATGGCGTGGGTATTAACGGTATCCAAGATAAATAACGGATTCAACTAGGAGGTTTAACCTGGCACATAAGGGTGGGATTGTCTAGCTACTTCTCAGACAGGATTTGAGAGAGTAGTATGCTATACAATTGAATAATAGAGACAGAGAGTTTGATTTTAATTATAACACACACGCGGCACATACAAACACACACACACACACACACACACACACCACACACACACACACACACACAGACAAACACCTAATTTTTTTTACCTATTTATTAATTTATTGATTTATCTATTAACTTATTTTATTAATTAATTCATATACATACATACAAAAAAAAAAAAAAAATCACACGAACTCAGAACCTTCACAAAAGCACTGTGAAAATAACTATCAAAAAACACGTGAGTTTCGATAGTAAACGAAGCATCAAATATTTTTTTAAGTAATTATCTTTAATTATTTTGCACGACCAGATATGCTTTCTTAATTCTCCAAGCGATAAAGTTAATAAAATAAGGACGATTTCATAGATAAGTATATATTCAGGTAAAATGAGCAGCGAATGTCGAGGATAAAATATATTGATTAATCATAAGTGTATATATTTTTTCCTTGTGTTTCGTGAGGAATTTTATACCACTCCCCCCCCTTCTCTCTCTCTCTCTCTTTCTTTCTATCTATCTCTATCCCTCTTTCTCTTTATCTATCTCGCTCTCTCTGTCTTTCAACTCTTTCGTTCTTCTCTTTCACTCTTTTTCTCATTCTCTCTATTTTTCCATCTCTCGTTCTTCTCTTTCTTTCATTCTCTCTCTCTCTTATCTATCTTTTTCTATGTCTGTCTGTCTCCTTCACTCTATCTACTTGTGTGTCTCTCTTTCGTCTTCTTTTTCTTGTGTGTGTGTGAGTGTTGCAGTGGTAACGTGTTGGTCTTGCAATGTTGCTGACCTGCGTTCGACCCTGCGTGTGAACAAGTGCGTGAAGGTTGGTGGAATGAAAGGGAGCCGAGTCGGAGGATAACCTCCTTGTCCTGTGACTGGTCCTGTTCTCCTGTCTGCTCGGTGTCTGGTCACTCAAGTCTGCTTCTGCCACTCTCCTGACGAGACGTTCTTATATTCTGCGACTGCTGTCTTGCTGGCGGGTGCCTGTTACTATACTCTTTGGGTGTCCGTTCTTCGAGTCGTAACAAAGGTTGAGTTCACTGGAATTGTTCGAGGGGGACAAAGTACTGGGCAAGTAAGGTACGAAGCCAGGAAGTAAGGCAGCTGCTAGGCCTAGGTGCAAGGCAACACCCATCCGGTTTGAGCATATTGTTGACACTGCGCGCTACCAGTGGATGGTAACCCCGGCCTTTCCTTGTACACAGGGGGAGATTTAGAAGCAAAATAAAACAGTATGTCACAACAAACAATATCCATTGTAACAAATGAAATTGAACTCTATGTGTGTGTGTGTGTGTACGTGGATGTGTGTGCGTGTGTGTGTGTGTACGTGGATGTGTGTGCGTGTGTGTGTGTGTACGTGGATGTGTGTGCGTGTGTGTGTGCGTGCGTGGATGTGTGTGCGTGTGTGTCTGTATGTATATGGTTTATATTTCAGTCTTCAGAATCTGCCAACATGAGTTTAAGTCATTTATTAATCTGATATATAGTGAGCGTGACAGACAACGAAGAATACTCTTAGGGCGCGTCAACACCAGCTGCATGCTGCTTGGAGACAAATCGGAAACATTGTGGGGGACACAACAGGAGACATTCGGCAACAAATCTCCTGATATATATGGGGTCATACCTGTTACAATATTGAGAGACGTCGGCAATAAGAGTCGATTTGGCGAAACTGTCCACACCATGTTGGTCTGTTGACATCACCTCGGCCACACCAGGACTGCTAACATGGGAAAGGCTAGCTCAGTAGCAACCCGAGGAGGTGTCATGGCGTCTGATTCTATTTTTGTGGAGAAAAATACACACGGGGTTTATTGATGACGTCGCAAAAGTTACGGATCTTTGTGAATATGGTCGATCATTTTGGTCTCTTCA